TGGTAGTAATAATCATAGCCTCATGAACTGCTTGATCACTTGATGATTTTCTCATATATTTAAGGTATTGCATGAACAACAGGAATGTAAAACAGTTTCTTTTTGGGAACGGGTACCATCAGGAGGCAGAGGGGCAAAAGGAGAGCGTGAAAGGTGGGAATGAATATGGTTGAAGTACTTCATGCTCATGTGTGAAAATATAACCATGAAATCTGTTGAAAGTGTTTTAAGAAGGGGCATAGGTATAAGGAAGGTGATAGGGTGAATTTCATTGTGGTATATTATATGCATCTATGTAAGTCATAATAAAACTCTTTAGTCCAACTGAAAATGATAATAAACTGTGAAAAAAGGTATTAAAGTAAATTGACTAGCTTTATTTTAACCAAGATAAGTTTTCTCCCATACATCTTTTGCAACATATAGATTTACTGTGAGTCCTTATTACATAAATAAATCAAACAGTTCTCTGAACATTTATTTGTCCTTTATTTATTTCTTCAGAGTAGGATGGGAGTATTAGCTCAAAAGCCTACAAATTCCAAATTCAACCTTTATGTGTAAAATTATTTTGAAGTTAGCTCAAATAAACATATTTTAGCTTATTTGCATGTCTTGAATCTACCTACATTACATATTTGCATACAAGATCTACCATCCATATTTGAGACAAACTCCATATACCATGGTAGACAATAAATCTGAGAAAATTTAAATATATCTTGGTACTTCATTTAGCTTTAATTTATTAATTTATTGCTAAAAATAAACATATTAACATATAAATATATAGGAAAAATAATTATCAAACCTAAAACAGTAGTGAATGGGTAGATTCTCTTTTAACATTTTTGCAAACTTTTCTAAAAAAAGAATTAGTTAGGAGAAAACAGATGGATAATCAGACCTGCTGCTGTATTCAATATTTTGTTTTATGTTTTTGAGCCTGAGAAAAATCACTTTTTCACATAAGAGTATCTTTGCACGTTTCCTCCTTTAGCTCAAGCAAATAATTGACTTGTGTGGGAGAAAATCCATATGTATGGAGGAGCCACAGAGACCCTTTGAAATAGTAGTGGGGACCCCAGGGTTTCTTTGAGAACTTCTGTTGTGCAATATTGTGAATCAAAGATTATAGTATTAAAAATCATAAAATCAGGCAAGCTTATGGCCAAAGTACCTTTCATGAAGTCTTAGGATTTCCATGCTTCAAACTATAATTTTTCACTTGGGTTTTCTTTAAAAATATTTTGTTATTACACTGCTCATAGTATTCACTATTGAGTTAGCTTTAATAAATTTTATAATTACTTATCTCAGTGTTCATTGTTCTTTTCATTCATTTTTATTTTTGGTTATTAAATTAATTCATTGTGTGGACAGAAATGGCATAGTGAGGGCTGTGGGAGGGTAACTTGGTGGTAAAACACTTGCCTGGCTTTTGTGAGGCCCTAGATTGATCTCAAGCATCTCAAAAAAGAACAAAGAGGAAGAAAACAAAATGGCATGATATCTACTGAGGCAAAGTTGACATACTGGATTTAGACTTCTTTAATCAATACTATATATCCATTTATTGTTTGATGTTTAATGTTCAATCCAGTTGATAAAATTATAACATACACCTTTTCTATGTGTATGTTATATATACACATATGTTATACATACACATATGTGACTTCATATTTGCCCAATAGTATATCAAAAAATGGGATAATGTGCAAGTTGAATAAGATTGAGGATATTCTCTGCATATTAACATAAATGTAAATCTCACATGTATTGTTAGTTTAGTAAAAAGGAAAAAAGGCACAGCAAAGAAAAGATATGTTTTATAAAATAGAGAAGGAAATATAAATTATGTGGGTGAATATTTGCATAAAGAAATAAAAGTAACTGGTCTAGAGATGTAGATAACGATGGCATGTCTGAGGCACTGGATTCAATTCAACATCACTAAAAGAAAAAGACATATGAGGAAGAAATGCAGCTAATCAGAAAAGTGCAAATATGATTCCACTGATGGCTGATATGACCACTGGAAAGTAGTAACTTGATTAAAATTGTGATGAGAAGGCACTCTCCATAACTGAAATATCTTGCATAGCAGCTACATAATATCCAAATACCAGCCATTCTTTACGTTATGATATTACAAGATAATTTTATAAATATTGTCAAAGATATAAGTTGCAAAATGAAGATTCTTAAATCTTTGTCAATGAAAGATTCTTAAAATTGACTTAAATTTTTATAGCTGTACACTATCCTTGATTAAGATGAATTGCCTTTGCAAATGTGGTTTCTGAGTTATTTCAGTATTGTATTTTCAACATTTATATTTAATGGAAGGAGTTATGTGTTAATGAACTTATGGAAAGTGAAAGACCTGAGGAAAGGAACGAATTTGGTTTGCATATAGACTAAGATGATCAATATAGGATGTTAGAAAAAGAAAATACTTTAGTCTCCTGCTTGTCCATGTGGTCTCTTTGTTAGAAATTGAGATGTAAAAAATGAGGAAATATTAACATAAAAGGATTGTGAATCTTTTTTTCTTATATTATTGTTGTACCAGGAGTACATTATGATATTTACAAAAGTTCTTACAAAGATTGTGAGTGTTGAATTTAGCAGTACTCTGATAGATACATGATCCACATGTGAACTTATTTGTTGGTACATATTTAGATCTATATAGAACATGAACTGTAAAAGTGTAGCCTTTCTGACTGCAATAGAGTGAGGTTAGTTATCCTTATCCTGAACAAATTTGGAGGAATTAATGGGTGCCAATTCATTTAACCCACAAAATCTGTGAAATAAATGATTATTCCATTGATGGTATCACATTTGTCATCTTCTGAGAAATGGTTTAGAGTAAGTAGAGGAAGAAATTTTTGCCAAACTCAGAATGCTTACGAATTCTCTTGTTGCGTGGGTGACAAAAGGGAAAGTGAAATGTTAAATTAGTGGTCTATTTGATGCCTAAGAAAGCCACTGAGGGAAATAGTAACTTGGAGGCAAACCACAGCCTTCATATTTTCGAGATGTATAGAGCTACTTGCTGTACAACCTTGTGTTTCTTACAGCCAATGAATGAACGAACAAGCCTACTAGAAATTGTTGACCATTTATGGAATACGGAATAATAAAGTTGGTAGAGATATTAAAACTGGGTGCTACAAAACAGATGCAGCTAAATGTGAAATAATTATTTTTAAAAGTAGAAATAGAATAGATGTAGGATTTGTGAGATAGCAAGATATTTGAATAAAATACAATCCTTATAGAATTATTTGATCCACTTGAATGGAGCATTCAGTACTAATGAAGTAATAGCAGACATACAAATTCTTTCTATAGTCTAAAATAGCAGTAAGTTCCCTGAATATTCTTTACACCTGATGTAGTATAAAATGTCCTCATATTTTGATACTATTGTCCATAATAATTCAGGAATCATTCTTCAAAACTGTGTGAATATGTAATGTACCTATTGCTTGATAGTCTTCATTGTAACACAGAATAGACATTTTGTTATCAGATTTAATGTAGCACAATGCACAAAGATTTGTTAATATTTAAAAACCATCCTAGAAAGCTTACTTCAGAGAAAAGAAAATTATGATGAAGATTAAATTTTTTTTTCAATTAATAGTATCAGAACATGAATTGGAGCATTTGGTTACTAATTTGAAATTGGTTCTCTCTACATATACTTAACTGTATAGAAAATTTCTTTTATAGAATTCATGTTTTTATAATTCTCTGATATGTCTAAAATCTGTGCTATTATAATAATAGCATTATTTCAATTACATTTATAAGTAACAAGAGTTGAAGCAAACTATTTTAATTAAAATGTACTTTTAATAATTACGAGGAGAGGAAAACAAAAAAGTCTGATGATAATGTACTTAAAATTCAGAGTAGTTAATATTGGAAGAGGTTCATCTTTTGTAATGCTAGTAATTATTAAGTTATTTCAGAGATAGCATGTCAGTCATGCTTCCCGTATCTAAATTCATAAAGGCATAAACTTTATTTATTTTAATTATGAAGATAAATATCAGTTCAATCCCCATCACCAATGGACATAATACAGCATCAATGCTGATCTGAATGCTATTGGAAAATATTTAATCATAATCACACTTCTAAATGCTTGTCTGGTCATGTTGTTTGTGGTATGTGAAAAATAAATCTATTAAGAGGATTAATTTTAGAAGTATTAATTTGTCATATTCAATTTAATATGATGAAAATGAGCATTGAGATACAATTTATTCTTTTCTTTGAAGTTTGTTATTTTATGATATTAGTGACTTGTTTATTGCAAGCAGTACATTTCTATAATAGTTTCAACATGTCCAAAATGTGCAGCATATACAATTTCCATAATGTAATTAGTTAGAAATTGGGGAAGCTTAATTTTAAAATTGAATTGTTCGTGAAATCTATTTTCACACTCTCTGTGGCTTAAGCAGTTTCTTTTCATAAAATGTTTTATAGTTGTTTGAAGAAATTAAGTGTAGTTAATCAGAAAGAACATTATGGTTTGACACCTAATTTGAAAGCCCTGTCTTAAAACAGTGAATGATTGCTTATGGCATTGCATGTGCCAATGAGAACCCAAATAGGAAATCCATTTATGTTCAAACTAGTCTCTATTGATTAAGTCAGTGTGATGTTGTCTTTTTGTGATACATATTTTGTACAAGACATATTTTTACATATATATGTGTATTTGCTAAACATATAGTTCATTGTGGATTAAGAAACAGTAAAATAACACCATGGTAAATTATTTCAATTATAGTACATGAAAAGGAAGATTAATGACCTTAAAGTGATTTCATTATGAAATCAGAAAATAAAAATCATAAATATCAAGTGCATAGCTTAGCATATTTAGAAAGCATTTAAAAGGAGTCTTAAAATGGGTATTGGTACAAACAATTTCATCTTTATTTGCTTTATGTTCATTTTTCCTCCAGTGCCACCAGCAATATCAATGCCTCAGAAAACTTTTAATGCCACAGCAGAGAGAGGAGAAGAGATGACTTTATCCTGCAGAGCCTCGGGCTCTCCAGAGCCCAGCATTTCCTGGTCCAGGTGGGTTAGCAATCATGTCCTGTGCCTTGTGTCCAGACCCAGGTTCATGATATGTTTGGAATACATTATTTTAGAAAGAATCAAAACATTGTTTTCAGATTTATTTGTTAAAGGTGCTATTACTTTTCAGCTAAGTTGGTTAGATTAAATAGTTAAAGAGATCAACAGTGTGATTTTGATATAATTTTCTTGACTTGAGGACTTTCTGATAGCACTTATTATGCACATAAGGACAGGTTTCTGGCTAAAAATGGGCCCAGTAGCCCTATAACTAATTCATTTTTTCTATTGTTCTACTGTAGTCTTCTTGATATAAATGTTTTGTGTTGCTGGCAACCTTGTTGTATGTGCACAACATCATTTATTAAAATGAAATTTATTACATATTATATTTGTGTACTGATTACAGAGAGTTAAATTTTAAAGAATTTTAGCATTTTAAAAATATTTACCTTATCAAATGAGTAAACCATCTTTGTATTCTAAATCTACTGTTCATGGTTATTTTAATTCTATTTTTTTAAAGATTTTCAAATGAACATTGAAATATCAAGCACAGATTTAAAAAACTCATTATTTTAGATTTTGGGTTAAACTACTAATTTGGAGACAATAAAGTTTAAAATTGAACAATACTATACACATGAACTATCGATGCAGTTAACTGTACAAACATTGGCTACAAATATTTATACAATCATTTCTGTACTTCAGAAATCATGGAGTGCAAGAAATAACTCAATGAGAATGTTAGAAAAAATATATATTTAAGTGTATGAAAGTGTCCACAATAAGTTCTATGCTTTTAAAAATTATTTTAAGGTCAATAGTTAAAATCCAAAATTCATTATTCATTATTTTCTGTCTTAGCAGAAATTATCTATCTTCTGTTTTCAAATCTTTGGTTTTCTTGTTTACCCATTTAAAATAACAGGTGATAATCAGCAAATATTTCTTCAAGCAAGGTGCTTTTAATTGCTATTTGCCGATATTAATTCTTTGTATTAGTAATTCATAAAGGGGTTACACACTGAATATTAACATATTAGCTGCAGATAATCATCATGTATCTCAGAGATTGCTGGCTTTCCAGTAGAGAACCTTAATAGTCAATATACAATTTAATTACATCACAGAGAAGCTCACAGATCATTTGTTACAATGAACAAATATTGTTATAGAATTTTAGCCTAATGATTTTTTTTACTTCAGAGGGACTTATTTTCTGCTTAGGGTTATTTTGTTTCAAATTTCTTTTTTTAATAATTAATTGGAATTATAAAGTCAAGGATAAATCAGCTTCAGAAGATAAATAACAATAATTTCTATCTGTTCCTTGACATCTTCACATATGACATCTTCATATGTCATTAATGTCATCTCTTGGGTAGGATAGAATAGAAACTTACTTAAAATTTAAACAGTTTTCTTTTTTAGTCTGTAGATAGAAAATATGTATTGGGAGAATAGGAGCTTTTGGTTTTGATATTTACAGACACTAAACTTAGCTTTAGAGTGAAGCTTATATTCCTTCCTGTGTATCTGTAGATGAACACATATGTTCATGAAAAGATATTCCTATAAACATTAGGGAATATAGGGAATTAGTTAAAGAAAGATGCAGACAACCTGATACACAGAGATGACATCTCCAAGTGATAAGCATGAAATCCATTGTCTTAGTAACCTTAGTCTTCCATCATAAAATAACACAGAAATTCACTATCCCCTGATTCTGAAAGTTAGACCTCCAAGAGCAAGGTGCCAGCTGGGATGTTGTCAAGCAGGACTCTCTTTCTAGCTGCACATCCAGCTGCTTTCTCTCTTTGTCCTCTCAATGACCTTTCTACTGTGTGCATTCTAAGGGAAGGTCACATGTCAAGGAACAGATAGAAATTATTGTTATTTATCTTCTGAAGCTGATTTATCCTTGACTTTATAGTTCCAATTAATTATTAAAAAAAGAAATTTGAAACAAAATGAGAGTAAATACTGAGCAAAGAATGTGTACACATTCATGTAAATGCAAAAATGATAACTGTTGCAACTGTGCCATGAATTGGACAGATAGGGTAAAAGAAGGAAACTAAAAACGTGAATATGAATGATGTACTCGTTATACAAGAATGAATATAGAAATCTTAAACCAGCTGATACCACCATAAGAAAAGGACTAAGGTAGAATGTAGATAATTAGAGGAGATAACTAATTGGATGTAGAACACATATATGCATGAAATATCACAAGGAGACTCCCTGTATGGTTGTCTTTATCTCAGACTAGCAACAGTGTCATGTTTTTCTCTTTTTTTTCTCTATCTTGTCCTCAAAATCATGGAACAGGAGAGCAGAACAGGTCCTGCCCAAGGGGGAGGGTTGGCACAAATGGGAGAGGGGAGGTGGCAGGGAAAGTGGGGAAGGAGAGTAAATACTGAGCAAAGAATGTGTACACATTCATGTAAATGCAAAAATGATAACTGTTGCAACTATGCCATGAATTGGTGCAGGGGAAATAAAAAGGAGTGGTGGAGGGGTGAATATGAAATATGATATAGTTGGTACATAGTAAAAACCTTTGTAAAGGTCACAATGTACACCCCCCCAGCAAACAATACAGAAAAAAAAAGAAATTTAAGGAGAAAGAAAATTCTTGTATCTTTTCCTCTTTCTATACCAGTCCCTTCAGATGAAGGCCTCACTCATGTGACCTCATTTAATGTTATTTACTTCCATAAAGGTTCTTTCTTCAAATAACCTTGGAGGTTTGAAATTCAAAGTTTGAATAGAGGCTTCACAGTTGAGTCCAGGGCACTAGTAAAGAAAGTAGTTAAGGACCAAAACTGGGGCAATGTAATATTTTTTTTACAAAGAATATCATGAACACCTAGTGACATATAAGTTAAAAAGAGAGTAAAAACAGTGACTCTGTACCTCTCTTCCATCATTTCTATTCAAATACTTCTTTTTTATCCCTTGTTATGTTTCTAATTTCTATTTTATCTACAGCAGTGTTCCTCTGTCATCCTGATAATTTCACAATTAGTTGTTTATTCAACTGTTTTCTTTGTGCTGATCAGTATAGATGCAGGTTTGTACATATAAAGATCTCTAAGAATTAACTTTTGGTTTCAGTTCTCTTCTTTTTAATGTTCTTTATTTCTTTGAGTGCTGTTTTTAGATTTATTCTATTCTATGTTTAATTGTTTAGTTCTTTTTAGTTGCTTATGGTTAATACTCTGTCATTAATATTATTTTTTAATGCAAGCACTCATTTTTCTCTTTAAATACTTATTAATTTTGATATATTGTTCATTTGGAATTTAATTTTTATAAAATGTTCCTTATAGTATTAATTTTTTTGTTGATTGTTTAGAAGTCTGTTGGTTTGTTTCTAAGCATTTGAGTATAATTCAACTTCATTTCTGTTACTGATTTCTAACTTCTTTTCATACTTGTCAAGGAGCACACATGTTTAGTGGTAAAAATTGTTTCAGCTTATTGTGCCTTATATTTTAGTATATACTAATAAATATTTTGTGGAAATTAGAAAAAGAGATGTAGTATCAGAAATGCAGATTGCATTATTATTTTTTACAGTGATCTCTCTCTACACATTACATAAATCAACCTACGTGATAGTAGGTCATCCTGTGCAAGTCTTTATTACCACATTTAATTTTTAAATATCATCTGTCAGCTGCATTTATAAATATTTCTGTGTATGCATTCAGTTACACTTGTTTTATGTTTCATGTTTTTGAAGCTATTTATTTTGAAAAGATCACATCAAAACACTAATCTCTCTGTATCGCTATCCTTAATTCAACTATCAAAAACATTTTGTCTTCCTTATGCTTATGTCATTTCTTCAACAAAATTGGTGATAAGGGCAGACAGGACCTTCCTGGAACTGAGTGGGGGATGTGGGAAGGGTGGGGGAAGGGGGCAAGGTAGAGAAATGATGTATGCACATGTGAATAAATGAGAATAAATAAATAAAATTTACATAAAGTGAACAGTGAAAAGAAAAAAATAATTATTGGACGGCTTTGTTTGCCAGAAGGAAAGTGATATAATCCAGAACATTATTTCAGATCTCTTTTTCATTTTTTTCTTTTCTCTTTGTCTTCAAATTCAATTTCTTACATTACTATGTCATGAAGTTTGCAAATATTTTCTATTGTAATGTCAAATCTATTATTAATCCCACTCAAATATTTTTCCTTTCTATTTTTTCTATCAGTTTGAAGGAGGCCTTTAATGTTTTTAATTTCTCTCCTACTTTCTCATGTTTTAATTTCTTGAACTAATTAAAAATCAGTTCCAGTAGATTTTTGATGGACGTACTTATTAATCTATCATCTGTGTTAGTTCTGTTTTGATTTTTTGTTTTATATGTTGCATTTTAATGCTTATATAGTTTTCTGTTAATTATGATTGTTAGGCATTAAGAAATTTATGTTTTGAGTGACGTTAGCTTGTTCTTCTTTAAACATTAAAAATATGTCAAATAAAATGAGGAAATAATTGTCTTTATTAGGAAGAATATTGGACTTGGTTACCTATTGATTTTATGATTGAAGGAGATGTATCCTTCCACTGTGATTTGAGATGTAGAGAAATTACAAGTAAATTTAATCACCTGATCTGTGAATAAGTATAAAGGGGGAAAACCCACACTTAAAGGTTAAGTGTGAGCATACAGTCGATGATAAAACACAGGAAAAGTGTTTGATAAATTATAAATCACTAAAACCTCTATCCGATTATTAGAAGAAAAATGAAAATTTTCACTGAAATGTCATTGAAAGGACAGAGAAAAATATAATTACTAATTATGGTTACAGCCATAAATATATATGCATATTATGTCAACATATATGTATATTATATATATATATATAACTGTAGAAAACAGGTTGAAATGCCTTTTGTATAGTTATTATAAACAGTGCAGAAGTAAAGATAAGAAGAAAATACATACAAAACTACAGGACATTATATATGAAATTTATTATTTTATAAACTAACCTTGCAATTCTCTATATCTGTTGTGAATTTTTTCATGCTTTATGATATATTTAGAAATACCATGACAATCTGGATAAGCATATGTTATTGAGTCATAAAGAGATACACTTATAATAGGATGTTTGTCAGTGCTTTCTGGAAAATGGAACCAGACTTCACTGGATATATTTGCTAACTATTAGAAAACATTTTGTTTCATTCTAGGAAAACTTTTCAAGTATAGTTTTTAGAGACGTATATTTAAAAATTAAATTTATATGGAATAATTAATATCCTAACCAAGGAGAGATTTTAAATGATTTATGTTAATAGTCCCTAAGATAAATTCGGCTTATCTAAATCAGTATTATAAGGAAAATATAGAAGAATAGGCAAAGTATGAAAAGGAAGAAGAGAATGAGGAAAAGAAGAATGAGGAAAAGTTGTAAGTGAAAGAAATTTGCAAGAATATTCCACAAATTATAAGGGCAATTGTAGAAATATTTGTTATACTTAAAATATTTCTTACCATATAGCAGAAAAAGTTGGTAGACATTGTTTTTAAAGACTATATGTCTCAAGTGTGGAGCATCTGCTTAGTAAGCACAATGCTCTGAATTCAAACAACAGTACCACCAAAAAATAACTACGTATGCTAAAATTGGACATTGATTTTGTGTATAAATAACTTGGAGAAAATTGACAATTACTTGTGTCTAAATGTTAACAAACTTTTTTTCTTCAATAATGAGTTAAATACTATCAAGCAAAACTTCTCTACTTGTGTTTTCACATAATTCTCCCAACTTGCACTTTTATTAGCAGTACTTACATGAAATATAAGTTTGTTATACATTTATATTACAGTTAATTTTAAATTTCTTTAAAGTAAATTTCAATAGAAATTCTTTTAAATGTGTCCTAAACTAGAAGAAAATAATTGTTTCATAAATGTGTAGAGTCACCAATATTTAAAAGGCAATTGGAAAAAAATCAACAAAACATAATTTTGCTAATAATAAAAATGCAAATTGAATTTACATGCTTGTTTCATTTGCCTAGTTTCAAGATTCCAACATGAGTCAAATGCTATCTTGTCTCTAAGTCAAAACTAATTTCAAGCATAATTTTAATATTTATGCATTTAGTTAGTTCCTGGGGTAATAAAAATATACTTTTGCTAGACATGTTGGCTCACATCTGTAATCCCAGCTAATTTGTGAAGCTGAGATAAGAACATTGTTTGGGAGCAATCCAGGCTAAAAGTTAGTGGACTCCCATATCAACCAATTAATTGGGAATGGTGACACATGCTTCTCATCCCAGCTTCATGGAAGAAATAGGTAAGAAGATCATGGCCTTAGGCTTGCCCAGACAAAAACATGAGACCCTGTTGGACAAATAACAAAACTTTAAAGACTGGAGGTGTTGCTCAAGATACAGTGCACTTGCCTTGCCAATGCAAGTCACTAAGTTCATTCCAGAGTATCGCCAAAGAAAACCCCCCAAAACACTTAATTGGATTATAGCATTTTCTATCAATGACATTGGCAGTGAAATAATTGATAACTGTAAATCAAAAAGCAGGCCATGATCTCCTGAATTATGAAGTCAGGTTTATGAAAATCAATCTTATTTTTCTTTTTCTGTAGGAATGGCAAGCTTGTTGAAGAAAATGAAAAGTACATACTGAAAGGAAGCAACACAGAACTCACCGTCAGGAACATAATGAATAGTGATGCTGGCCCTTACGTCTGCAGGGCCTCCAATAAGGCAGGAGAAGATGAAAAGCAGGCATTTCTCCAAGTCTTTGGTAAGTATTAGAACATAGTGGTTAAAATGCAATGTTTAAAGAAAGGTCTGAGTCAACTCCTTGTCTGCCAACAATTGAGCTGTTGAACATCCTATAACAAAGCCTCAGCTTCTTCATTTCTGTAATATATTGTTTAAACCTCATCTTCCAAATAGTACTGTCTTAAGAACCACATGAAATAATACATGGAAATTAGTGTAAGATATTGGCCAGCTCATAATTAAAGCTGAAAGAAAATATTTTTTGCATTATACCTAATGGAATCTGTAATGCTTTATATCTATAGATAGGTTATCCTTCATAAATCTTTAAATGACACTTGCTGGGATACATTTCACGTTCAGTATAGTACAGAATTGCACTTGGCTATCATTTACATCCATTTATCCATAACTAAAATTATTCTCTTTATTTTAAGAGAAAATATAAATATATTCCATATTTAGGAAGAGACATATTGTCTGCTTTGGGGAGGTTATAGAGAATAGATATTAGTGCTGTAAAAAGATAACTGGTTTAGCTTCCATTAAGTTTGTAACAAGAAATACTGTTTGCTGGTTTGTACTTATGATTTTGTTCTTAAAAAGTGTACCCCACAAAATTATATGCATTACTAGCATTTAGTAAGTTTTCTCCATCTTCAAAAATATTGTCATCAAAATTCTTTCACAATACAGAGAGACAAAAGGAAGGAACTGTAGATCTTGTTCCCAGTGAGCTGGCACACCTGTTCTTCTCAAAGTGGCCACAGTAAATAGTGTCTCCTTCCTCCCTCTGCTGGTTGTTCCTGTCATCATTGCAAGGGAGACATTTTCATGTTTACATTACAGTTGAGCAAGACAAACAGCTATAACAAACTATATCAGAAATTTAATTTTCATAGTCATATGTTGTAAGAAGAATTTAAACTGAATAAATCTGGTATCATTGCATCATTTATTTATTTATTTATTAATAAATTAATAAATAATTAATTATTTATTATTTTGGATAGTTGGAGTTGAAATTTACTCAGAAAAGTAATGTTCAAAATATATATTGCTTTTGTCCTGTTGGGTTTTTCTTGATACATGACTTCCCTATAAGCCACATAAATTTCAATTAAACTACAGTTTCACTGCTAATGTAGTTGCTGTTTCTTTAAATGTGTCTTTACGTGTTTTACTTAAAAAAATCTGTTTATATGCTAAACATGGGAAAGTATTTCACTCTGCCTGTTTACCTAACTGTGTACATATCCCTAATAGCTCTGGGGATATTTGCCACTGATGAAAGTAGGTATTTATATACTGTGTTTCTTTATAAATGACAGTTTCAAAATGTTTGGAAAGCAAAATTTGAATAATCCCAAGGTCATTGAAATGCCCCTCCAATTTCACTTTCATCTATGTTTATGTTAAGAACATTGCACGCTCAGAGTAGTCTAATCATCACTTTCTTTAAACTAAACTTGAAATCCAGTTGGCACAGCTGTGCTTGAGACAGAGGCTACCTAAGTGGAGAACTGGACCTTGGACTAGTGTGAATTGAGGATTACAGACATTCTTATATCCACACCATCCCTTCTGTCCCCAAAATTAATACATGAAACCATGCACAGATGCTGAACTCCAGACATTCAACTGTGCCATGATGCACACTGTCTTCGTATGTTATGTCAGATTTTAAAATACTGCAGTGAGATAGTTAATACAAAATTATAGTTACAATAAGATCTTTCTAAAATGGCTTATTTTTAAAAAGTGTAAATGCTTATTAATTAATATTATTTTTGTCTTAATAAAAAAAGATCATAAATAAAACCAAAAGGTATTTTACAAAAGCTGTCAGTAAAGACAAGTTAGAGAAAGCTAAGAGCCTGGAGAAGATGTTCAGCTAGAGGAAAATGTAAACAAACTTAGAACTACTAGAAGTTATGAAAAGTACATAACTTCCTCAAACAGTATTTTTTTAATATTATATTCTTTAAAACCTTACCACTGAAAAAATGTAACTAGAAATGTACTGTACAACATAGTTTCACAGGACAGATAGTCTCCAACAATAAACTAGGCTCATATGAAACAGTTAACTTCGTATTTATTAGGGTACCAATGTGTGTATGAGAACAAAGAAGGACATGAAAGTTTCTGATTTTTCCATCCTTTGAAATAAGAAATAATGCAGGAAATATTACATTGCATCATGGCAATAATAACTTTGTGTAAAAAGATGGAACAAAAAGTCACATATTTATATATTCATATATAGTGAAATTATAATTCAAACACAGTAGAATGAACAGTGAATTGGTAAAATTTCTATATGTGATATTTCTGGTATCAGGAATATTTTTTGAGAATAAGAATAACTTATTTATATTTTTAGTTGATTTTATCACAATGAAAAAAGTTACTTGCTCTGAAATAACAACTTCTGACTTTTAGGCTTGTATTTTATCATATAAAAAAGCAACAATTTATGAAGAAGTATAGAAAATACAGAGGTCAAAAAATGAAATGCTTTGTAATATTATGTACATTATGGAGGTACATGTATTTTAATATTCAGATCATTTAAATTACTATGTATAATGTTCTTTTATTTGAGTAGAAGAATTCATTTAATGTTTAATATACTGTTAAAGTAAATAAAGTTCAAAATAAATCAACACATAAATAACACATAAGAGTAATTTGTATAAGTATATATTTTCTTCATGAATATTTAAAAATTTATAGGTAATTATTTATTCTATATATTCAAGACATACAAATCACTTTCCCCTTTTGGTGAAATTATTATTAAAGTATAAGACATGATCAATAAGTAAACAGATGCCATATATGTTATATAGGTGTATGTACATATGTTTGTATATGTGTATACATACATGGCTTTAAAAGAGGAAATTTTAACTTAGTAACTTTAAGAATGGAATAAAATAGCATGACTTAACTAGACAACACTTTGAAAAGAATTATATTTTTATGTTAATTTCTAAGCATTCTGAAGTTACTTTTATGTAATGGATGAACATTACTTTCTAAAGTTGCTTTTCTCCTGCTCTTTGCAACTCTCTGGATTCTGCTGTTAAGCAAAGCATGTTACTGTAATTGCTAAAAAATTCCTCACTTCATACTGTATTAATGTGGACTTAAGTGTCCATCATGGAATTGTAATTTTAAATAGTAATTCTTTTCTCCAGTACGGATTAAGTAATATGTACATTTTTTACAGTACAGCCTCATATAATACAACTTAAAAATGAGACGACATCCGAAAATGGTCACATAACACTTACCTGTGAAGCAGAAGGAGAGCCTGTTCCAGAAATTACTTGGAAAAGAACAATGGATGGCATCACATTTTCTGAAGGTGATAAGGTAATAGCAATTTAAAAAATCATGGGGTTCACTACCACTGCAAATTCCAGAGTTTTTATTATTAACACAGCTCATACTAGCTCCAACTTATTAAGTAACTTATAAAAATAAATAAATGAGTTTCTTATAAGGATTACTATTCCACCAAATCAGTCCAAAAGATAACTCTTGAGGAGAAAAAAGTCAATATGTAGCACTTAAAGAGATTTTTTGCTATATTAAAAATCATAGGTTATTGGTATTATTCTTAAGGTGCTTCCCTAATCTCTTGGTTTACCTTGTCTGAATCATATTAATTGAGATTTTAGTTTTCACCCTATCTGTGTAAATTAAAGTAATTCTGTTTTTAACAGTTCCAGGCATCTTTCAACTCTTTACTCTTTTAGAATGTCTGCATGTTTTAAGAGTAGGGATCTGATTTTATATAAATTAGATAAAGAGAACTAAGAACATAAAACACAGTATTTTGATGACCTTTCACCAGAATGCATTCATGTTACTTGGAAATCAGTTAAATTTACCATAAAATCCACTTCATGAAATTTTATTATTTTTTAAATTTTTCATAAATATTCATTTTAAACTTCAAATATAAAAATGAAAGAGAAGAGAAAGAAATAGGCAATAATGTAATAATATGATGGAATAGCTTTCTCACTTCAGTAAATATTATAAAATTAAGCTTTAAATGACTTTGTCAATGTTGAAAATTTTTCATAAATTTAATGCAGCTATCTTGTCCATTTCTTTTTTGAAAGAATATGATCCCAGTTAAGACCCTTTCTTGACCCATATCATCTGCAGGAGGGGATTTTTTATAATATTTTTCTTAATAATTTTGGGGCATTTTTGATGATAGTTGTGCCCTTTTGATATTCTTATTTTATATATTAACATGCTATAGACTTTGATTTAATATTTCCTTTTTGTTTCTTTCTTCATTTTTTTTTTGGCAGTATGGATGGGTTGAACTTGGGGACTTGTATGTGTCAGGCACCACAGGTGCCTTAGGACTTGAGCCACACCTCCAGTGATTTTTAGTTTTCCTTTTTTCAATAGGGTCTGTCTTTTATGCCCTGGTAGGCCCTCCTATTTATAGTCCATTCATAGCTGGGATGTGCACACAACTGTGTCTCCCAGCTTTTTGTTGGTTGAGAAGGGGTATTGGGGACCCTTTTTCCAGGCTGGAACTGCAATCTTTGAGATCTCTGGTTTCCCAGTAGGTAGAATTACAGATATGAGCCTCTGGCTCCTATTCTGTTTCCATATTTTCATACCAGAAAATCATAGCTATTTGTATGGTCCAGGTGCCAAGTATGAAAAACGTTGAATTTCATTAAAATTAGTAAAAGTTCAATCTGTTATTCAAAACTGTGAGCAAGGACTGGAGGTGTGACTTAAGCAGTAAAGTGCCTGTTTTGCAAGTACAAAGTCTTGAAATCAAACCTCAGTCCCACCAAAAACAAGTAAGTGTGGGAAACAATCCCCAAACCATAAGCAATTGTTTTCAAATTCTGATTTAGCACATTTCTGTGGGTTGGATTACTCTAGTAATTATTTTCATTCCTTTAGCCCTTACACCTTCATATTCTTTAGTGTTACACCTAACACTTATTTTCCTGTCCACCTAAAAATACTAAATATACTCTTCTCAAAGCTAGTTTTACTCTTTCATTAATTGAAATTTCTATAAGTTTGTGTTAAGAATAATGTGTATGATTTACTCAGTTATCTGATCAGTAAAATGTGAAGTACCCAGAAATGTGTGATTTTCATATTTTTATTCTAGTTGCTATGCCTCCAGCCCTCCCAAACCACACACAAAATTTTTATTTTAGTATTTGTGAAGAGCAGTTGTCTACTTTCTGATTGCTCAGAACTGTTGTTAAAGAGTGCACTTATAAAAAAACCTTTTAATTTGGTCTCTTTCACACAACACAATCATAGAAACCCAAATATGTTTTTTACACATAATGTGTTCAGTAGATAAAGAAATTAAGGTTATTAACTGTCTATTACAGGAGTGACCTAATAATATTTTGAGATCCTGGCTTTTATTCTGGATACCGGTAAACCTCTTTTCTCTTGATATAACTTATTTCTTGAGCTGCAAAATTCACAAATTGAATAATTGAACTGAGCTTTGAAAGAAGGCAAGTCTAGGTTTGAATTCAGCTTTGTAAATTATTATGGTTGAGCTTTGAAAATATTATTTGATCTCTTTAATAAAATCTCTTCACCTTTAAAATGTTGATAATAGTTCTTATCATCTCCCATGTTAGAAGTGAGATGAAAAGTGTATTATAAAACACATGTCAAAGTGTTTAAGTCTTCAAAACACATTTTTCATCTTTGTCATTTTATATAAATTTTGAAGCACAGTTTATCTTGTCACTAATTCTGAGTAAATCTTGGTTAATAGACTCCATAATATCTGGTAACATGTTTGAATAAACATGATCAGAGATTGTACTAAAATCATAAAATTTTGATCAGAGAAATTAGCATAAGATTCTATTTTCCAAAACAATCTCTAACAGATTCTATCATAGATCAAATTCTGTATTTTCATCCCTGAGATTAAATTAGTATGTTTAGGTCAAGGACTTGGATCGGATATTCATCACTTGAGTTCATATGAATGGATTTCAGTCCTTACTTGGGAAAACATCTCTCAAATCTAAGTCAAGATGACATTTAAAAACTAATCCTTTCAGCAGAAAAGTTCTTAATTAACAATTTGTTAAGGTCATGATTGGGACTTGGGAATTATACCACAAAATAAAAGTTCCCCTTATAAACACATTTGTCAAAGTTTTAATGAATTTGCAAATATATAGTTCATAAGAAGTTAAATATCTTCCAGTCATGTCATTCAAACTGATAATTTTTATCCAACAACATAACCAGTTACTTAGCAAATATATTCATCTTTGTAGATTATTAAAAGGGGATCTCAATTAATAGCACTATTTTTCTTATGTAAATTCACAATCATCATAAAAGACAAATAAATGAGGATAAAATATCATAGGGATTACAGTTACATATAATTGAATGTTCTAATACTGAACTCAAGGATTAGATAAATGAACACAACACAATCCTCTTAGTAGTTAGCAGCTAAAAGTGTTATTTTCCACTGTCTGGAAATATTTAGCCTTTTCAGTTTTATACCATTTATGACATTAAATTGGTTTAGATATTTTAGAAATGAAAAATGATTTCAACCCTGTGTAAATAACTATTGTCTTCCAATAGAACAGATAAATATTTTTATAGTCATGATCCTATGTCCTCTATGAAGGAATACCACAAGAACAATCTTCTTCCCACAGCTGTCAGAGATCTGTCCCTTTAATGTAGTTAGGAAGAAGTTTATACTAATCTCCAGAAACACTAAATCAATGATTGAAGTGTTAAGTTGTTGTACTAAATTCCAGATATTATGAGTATAAACATAGTGTTCCTCTTCAAGGTTGATCATGCTAGCAGTCTGTATTTCAGTCGCATTTTCACAACGTTATGTTTGACTTCAATCTCCACCAATGCAATGAAGTTCAGAGGAAGACTCCTGCTTCCAATATGGGTTAGAATAGATCTTCAGTGATTAAAGCAGAAGTGATGAAGACTGATCTCTCTTCCAATAAGTCACAATATCAGAATTACACGTATCACAGATCTCTTAGGTCAATGTCTTCTTCCTTTTCTCTCACATCTTCTACTTTTTCACATTTTCCTCTCTAGAAGTGAGTCACTTTTTTGTCTCCTTTTACAATTTTCATATTATGTACCATTAAATATTGATTTGGAAGAGACTCTTTTACATTCTTAGAAGAACCTAAATAGATGATTAAAGTCAGAAAAAAAGGAATATGCTGTGCTTTGCAAAGCATGCCTGCTTTAGAATGTTTTACTCTTCAGTTTTTTTCACACTAATATGTTAAATACATATGATAAAACTATTTTCTTTTAAACATTTTCCTAGAAATATTGTGTTATTTGTTAATTTTAGTATTAAAGTAAAATATTCTACCAAGGGAATGAATTCTTCCCCTAGAATTCTTACAAAATGGCAAACCACAGTAAACAAAAAATCCCATTTATGTTAATAAAGTGTTTCATATTTTAATATAAAGTATTCATTATATTATTTCATGGATGGCGTATTCCTTGTGTCATTTATCTACAGAATCTATAATTATTTTGTTTATGTTGCACTTGTCCTACTAGTAAATTATAGGTCTGTCTCTACTAGCATTTAATCCCACTCTACATTGAAGAAAAAAGTACTCAAAATTTATAGCAGTAAGTTATAACTATCTTAAGGTAACAGTACTCAAACATCAGTCAATTGATAACCAGCTTCATCTCTTTTCTATATTCACTCATGACCAAAGAAATATTTTTCTTTAAATTGAATTATTTTTCATTTATTTTATGATACAAATCATTGCAATCCAAAACACTTACATGAATTTTATTTAAAAGTACACATTAAATTAATAAGAACTATGAAATAAAAAGTTTTATTAAAAGGACTAACTAAACTTAGAGAGTACATACTCAGTGGTACACAGGTACACATTCAGTAATACTCCTTTCATGTTAAACATATTTTTGAATTAATATGATATAAAAATTCACAATGAAATTTTGAACAAAGCAGATTTAAATATGCTTTGGTTGGGACATAAATTATTTTCAATTGTTCCATTGTGGGCCCAGCATTTTTCTCCAATAAACAAATAATCTTTGCTTCATTGATGGCTACAGCATTCACTCACAAATCATGACTGAAATTAACTTAATTTCAATCCTTACCATGATTTGCTAAGTTAAAAAATAAAATGCTGGTTTCAGTTCAAATTTGTTCATCTCAAAACTGTGTATGACTAAAAATAGTGAGATTTTTCATGTTCTTTTAAATCTTTTGAAAGATTTGTCCTCCTGAGTTAAAATAAACAGTTTTATTCATTCAGCCTTACCTTTAATACTAA